AGACTTGGTGTTTTATGAACTATTTCCTTAATCTTTAACTTTATTTCTTTTATGGAAATTGATCTGTTTAAGTTTTTAAAACAAAGGAGGCTGGGCCAGTCATGTAACCTAGTGGTGAAGGAAAGCCAGATTCCACATGGCTGACTATGGTTTAAATCCTAGCCCCGATGGCTTGAAAGATATGGTAGTCGCGTGTATATGACTGTCCTAAATCCTGACATGATGGAGAAATGAAGGAGAAGGGATTGTGGCATGACCACAACCCACTGGAAGGTGTTTTCTCCCCCCACCCGCTCTCTCTCTGGTGAGTGCATATTCCCCTGGCAACTTAAATAAAAAAGAAAAAGAAAATGAAGGGGGTCAATTTGGTTATCTATTTTTCCTTAGGAAATTATCTCTTTCATCTAAGTTTTCAAATTTATTTGCAGAGAGGTATGCAAAGTAGTCTCCTATATTGTATATTTATGCCTTCTCTCTATTTTTTTCTAATTGCCAGAGGGCATGTGCAGTTGCAGGCGAGATAGACACAGAGAGACCTTCTAATGGGGTGTGGTCATAGACGATGCCCTCTCCTCCATTTCTTCATCCTGTCAGGATTTTGGGCATGCATGCACATGCTCTCAGAGTATTTTTCAGGCCACTGGGGCAGGGATTCGAACCACAATTAGCAATGTGGGATATTGCTCCCTTAACCACTAGGCTACAGGCTCGGTCCTATTTAGTTTAATGATAAAATTAACTAGTAGTTATTCTGTTAATTTTTTGAAAATAGGATTTTCATTTACTAATTAGATCTATTGTTTTTCTATTCATTATTTCATCAATTTCTGCCTTTTTGGGGGGGTGGGAGGAGGTTTGCCATAGCACATGTGAGAGAGAGAGAGAAAGAGAAAGAGAGAGAGAGAGAGAGAGAGAGAGAGAAAGAGTTCAAAGTGAGAAATCACCTTCCCGGGGATGGCCGTGCCTCAGTCCCTTCTACTTCATTCTCCTCTTGGGATTTTGGGCATGCATGCCCTCACATCTGATGTGATCTTTAAGCTGCCAGGTCTGAGACTTGAACTGTGGTAGCTCACATGGGAGTTCAGTGCCTTAACCATCAGGCCACCTGCTAGCTCCTCTGCTTTCATCTTTATCATTTCTTTCTATGTACTTCCTTTTGGTTTACTTTGTTCTTTACCTGTTGAGTTGTTGGAAAAGTCATGATGCATTTTTGCATAGAAAAAACAGAAAAATACATTATGACTTTTCTGACAACCTTTAGTTTTTTTAATCTGGGGTCTTCATTTATTTTCAGCTTTCATTTTTATTGACAGAAATGTTTAGTGCTGTGATTTTTCTTCTCACCACTGCTTTAAACTCATCCTATAGATTCTTTAATTTCCTGTCATTTCTGTTTCGTAGGAAAATAACTCGTGCGCCGGCACTCACAGGCTTTCAAGTACCCACGCAGGCCATTAGACAAGGCTTGAACCATAGCTGGCCTAAAAGTTGGCAGACGTCTTATCATACCAGAACATGAAGGAAGGGAAGGCTGGTGAGGATCTGCTAAAAAACCATATCTCACCTGCTTCTCTACCTATAAAGGAGGCTGTCATGTGCTGGAGTCCACATGGCCACCAGCATGGTTCAAGTTCCAAATCTGGCAATTTGGAAAGCAAACAAACAAAAAACATACTGAACAAGTACACACGCATACGCAAAATCCTAAAAGGAGAGAGGATTGTGGCGTGGCCATCCCCCCTGGGGGGGATTTCTCACTTTCCCTGTCTCTCTTCCCCTCTGTCTCTCTCTGATGACATATGTGCTCTATTACAAACAAAACAAAACCTCGTTCCCTCACCCCACACAAATATACCTCATCATCTGAGGGCCAGGAACCCAGGCACAGTGCAACTGCAGCCTCCACTCGGGGTTCTCTAATGCTGAGATTTAGACGTTAGCTAAATGCTCCTTTCTGGAAGCTCTGGAGAAGAATCTGCTGCCAAGCTCACTTAGGTCATTGGCAGAATTCAGTTCCTTGCAGTTGTAGGACCAAGGTCTCTATTTCCTTGCTGGCTTTCAGCAAGGGGCCATTCACAGTTCCTGAAGACCGCTGCATACGTGGCCTCCTTTTTCACGAGCCAGCGAGGACGCATGGGATCATTCCTGTACTTATCATCTCCGACTTCCTCTTCTACGACCAGTGGGCAAAACCTGCTTTTAAATGGCTTATGTGATTAAGTCAGGCCCACCAGGATAATCTTTTTTAAAGTCAGCTGTGACACATAATCTAATCATGGGAGTAAAAATCATTTCCATGGTCTCAGGGATGATGCAGGCATGTACATCTGAGGGCAAGAAATCTTGGGACCTATTTTAGAACTCTGCCACACATACTGCTCTCTGTCACCTTGCAGTGCCAACTGAAAACCGTTTTACTCAACAAAACGAGACTGATCACCAGACAAGAGTCAGAATAAATGCTCTTGAGACAGATGCCAAACGAATAAGTCAGATTTCTTGCCTTTCATCACACAATAAACTAGAGAAGACTCAACAACTGAAATAAGGGAAGCCTTGTCCTCCCTTTCTAGTAGTGCACTCACATTTAAACTAGGGAATTTTAAAGGATAAAAATAAATTGAATTATGAAAAGCTATTTTAAAAAGCACCTAATGTATAGCCAGATGTTTTTAGAGAGTCAAGGACATAAACAAGACAGAAAATAATGTAGTCTGTGAGTCTCTAGGTAAAACCACTGACCTCTGAGATATAAAAACTAAACAGTCTCCTGATAAAAATTGGATGGACCAGCAGATGGTGTACTGGTTACATCGCTGAACTCCCACAGAGTCGACTGTGGTTTGAGTCCCTGACCCAGTTGCGTAAAACTCATGTCGGGTATGTGTGCGTGCGTGCCCAAAATCCCGAGAGGAGAAAGGAGGAGTAGAGATTACAGTGTGGCCATCCCTCCTAGGGGATGATTTCTCACTTTCTGTCTCTCTATCTCTGTCTCTCCAGTGAGCACATGTGTCCTATACCAGAAATCTTTCTTAAAAAACAAAACAAAACAAAAGCATGGGACTGGCAGGTGGCATGGTAGTTGAGGGTGCTGGACTCCCACATGACTGACTACAGTTCAAGTCCTGGACCTGGTGGCTTGCTTTTTCACTTTCACTCTGTCTCTCTTTTTTTTCCCTCTCTCTTTCACTCTGTCTCTTACTGGTCAAATTTAAATAAATAAATAAAGTTAAGCAAAATAATTCTTAAAAATAAACAAACAAACAAAAATAAAAAACAAAAGCAAAAACATATAATCTCCTGATAAAACATTAGGATACTTTCACTAATCTCAGCAAATAACTCCAGAAATTATTATAGAAATAGTTATGGTCAGGACCAGCAGTTGGCATAATTACTATGTTGCTGGACTCCCGTATAGTCAACTGTGGTTCAAGTCCCGGACCTGGTAGCTTAAACTCCTGTGTGTGCCCAAGATCCCAAGAGGAGAATGGAGGAGAAGGAATTGCAGTGTGGCCATCCCCCATGGGGTGGGGGGTGGCTTCTTGCTTTCTGTCTCTCTCTCTGGTGAGTGCACCCGCCCTGTAGCAAAAACCTCTCCAAAAAATAGTCATAAAAAGAGAAATAGTTATGGTCTCAGAATCTCCAAGGGCAGAGACTCTACAGATTAACTGAAGCAGTCAATTATAGTCTAGATTGATTCTTCCTAGATATTCATAAATCTCTGTTTGTGCAAACATGAAAAGGTTAGGCTATGCTCCAGGGGTGTTAATAACACAGCACACAGAGAACCACTGCCTATCCCTCAATTCTATAGCCATAGTTTAGCCTTCTTGCCTCAGAACAATTACTGTTAATGATGGCTGGACTCAGATAATGTGCCAAAGTATCAATATCTACAGATCTTGAGTTAGGATCACCTTTAAATCTGATGTTATTACCATGTGGCAAATCTCTATTGCTAAAGGAAACCACCTGTAATTTTTCTACTAGTTAATTACATAATTATGAATTATTATCACAGTTAGCGCCCACAGGTATCATAGTCTTTGAATATACAGAATACAGTTGCAGGTTTGGCCCCCTGGTATAGCAGTTAAGTGAGGCTCAGAGGAAGCTGGATCTCACATGGCTAGCCATGGTTAGAACACTGTCCCAGAAGCTGGAGAAAGATGGCAGGTGTGTATGCGTACCATGCCCAGGATCCTGATGGGATGAAGAATTGGAGGAAAAGGGCCTATAGGTGACCAGGTCACATTGGGTTCTCTTTCTCTCTGGCACAAAAAATGTTACAGTTAAGAGGCCAACAGGTGGTGTAGAGGTTAAGGCTCTAGACTCCTACATGGCTGTGGTTCAAGTCGCAGACCTGGCAGCTTGAAACTCAGGCTGGGCATGTATATGTGCCCTAAATCCCTAGAGGAGAATGGAGGAAAGGGATTGTGTTATGGCCATCCCCTGGGGGAGTGATTTCTCACTTTCTGTCTTTCTCTCCAGTGAGTACATGTATCCTAAAGCAAAAATCTCTCTCTCAAAAAAAAAAAAAAGAGGTGAGGGTGGGACAAGGGGTTATGGGTGAAGGTCAGACTTTTGGAGCTGCTTCATATGAGATGGGGTGCTGTCCTTTAGGAGAATGTGGAGGGGTGTGGAACCTCAGGGACAGGTGGGAATATCATACCCTCTGGAGGAGCAAGATGTTTTTAGACTATTCTGGAGCCAGTTGTATGAAGCAGTTTGGCATTTTTAAGAGTGGAGGTCCTGCAGAAACCAAATTAGAAGTCAGGTGTGGCCTGTGGCAGAGCCTTCTGGCAAGGGTATGGGTCTCACTTGATTTGGCTTCCCGGTCATAGCATCAAATGTCTACTGATTGTCAAACTTGACAACAAAATATCATTTAGTAAGTATCAAATGCTTTTTGATAAAATATACTTAGAAAAACAGCCAAGTATTACACAACAGTATCTTCTATCATAAAACAAATTAATATAAATTTATTAGGGGGAAAAGGACAAAAAAACATGGGGTGGTTCTGTACTGATATAAAAGAGTTCATGGAAAGGTAAACTCAGGTCCAAAATCTTCAGCTCACATCAAAGACTTCATGCTCGTACGACTGTAGAAACAGGCCGGTCCTAGTTGCCGGGCTCGTGGAATCATGGGAGAATACAGTAAGTGAAGAAGCTCCCTTGTCAGGGGTATCACTTCCTCTCAACCTCAGAAGGGAACTTCTTGGGTGTGAGCCTGAGATTATTCTGCTTAGTCTCCCATCGATGAAGAGCAGACTGGCTGGAAATGGCATTGGGCCTTACCTCCTGGTCCTGCTGGAAAGAAAACACACCTAACACTGACCGTTCAAAACTAACTGCAGTGCTGGGGCCGACTTTGCTTCTATAAATGTCACGTGTCCACTAAGATAGGTGATTCTAATCTAGAAACTTTAGGAGAGGTGGAACTTTTAATATAAATAATACAGTTCATTGGTATCCTAGCAATAGTTTAAAAAAAAATCTGAAGACTAGTGGAGAGAGTAGCTGAATGACAAGAGAATTCTGTAATTAGAAATCTGAGGACTCGATTGGTAGTCACTGCATCCATGCAGAAAATAAACTGTTTGGTACATTGTAAATATGGGTAGTGATTAAATATAAATTTTAAAAGTGCAAACAAAATGAAAAAATAAAAATCTGAGAAGGAACAAATCCAGTCATTTAAAATAGCCATGTCTTTAACCTCACCTCCTCCTGCCATCTGTCTTCCCGAGGAAGCCTCTGCAACCGGTTTTTTGTCAGTTCAAGCTGTAGGCCATCGAACCTGCACTTGAACCAGCGGTGAGCTTCTTCCAGGTTAGCTGTTATCTGAAATTAAAATGCAATTATTAAAAGTTGTAACAAAAAAAACAGTTGCAATTTTTTTTTAATTGTTACAGAGATTTTTGCTACAGGGTGTTCACTCACTGGAGAGACAGAGACATAGACAAAGAAAGTGAAAAACTACCCCCTGGAAGGATGGCCGCACTGCAATCCCTTCTCCTCCATTCTCCTCTTGGAATTTTGGGCACATACATATGCACATGCACCTGGCATGAGTTTTAAGCTGCTGAGTCCTGGGACTCGAACTGTGATCAACTATGTGGGAGTTCAGCAACATAACCATTAGGCTATCTGCTGGTCCTGCAAATTCTTTATGTATTAGTTTGAAAAACATTTTACCTAGATATTGAAACCAAAATTCTGACCACAAGATCCTTGTGGCCTAATTGCATAATATACTTAAAAACCTGTAGATGAGCGGGACCAGCAGTTAGCGTAATGGCTATGTCACTGGACTCCCATGTAGTCAACTGTGGCTCAAATCCCGGACCCGGTGGCTTAAACTCACGCCAGGCGCATGTGCATGCGTGCCCAAGATCCCGAGAGGAGAATGGAGGAGAAGGGATTGCGGTATGCCCATATCCCCTGGGAGGTGGTTTCTCACTTTCTGTCTCTCTGTCTCTGTCTTTCTGGCGAGCGCACGTGCCCTATAACAAAAAACAAAAAACAAAAAAACAAACCTGTAGATGAGAGAATAATTTCCATATGAGGGGTTACAGAATGCATGCAGGCTTCCCTGCTTTTGATGTATTTGTTAATATCTCTTGGATATGAACTAAGGTAAGAGAAGACCCAGGAGAACAATAAGGAGAAAAGTACAACACAGTATTTAAAGTGCAAGTACATATATGAAAGGCTCTTAAGAATGTTGTACCACAAACCACATTTTGAATTTGAAAAGGCTAGATTTTTCTGTTGTGCTTTATAAGGTAACAGAATGAACTTCTAAAAAGCTGGAGCAGCTTAGTATACGTTATATTATTTATTTTCTTTATCATAAAAATATTTTACCTTGAGGGAACCAGCAGATAGCATAATGGCTATGTCGCTGGACTCCCACGTAGTCGACCGCAGTTCGCGTCCCGGACCCGGTGGCTTAAAACTCACGCCGGGCACGTATGCGTGCATGCCCAAGATCCAGAGAGGAGAATGGAGGAGAAGGGATTGCAGCGTGACCATCCCCCCTGGGGGGGTGATTTCTCGCTTTCTGTCTCTATGTCTCTCTCTGTCTGTCTGGCAAGCGCATGCGCCCTATAGCGAAAACCTCTCAAAAAAAAAAAATTTACCTTGAGTTCTTAATCACAAATGTCCAAATTATCTTTGCTAGACTTCAAAACAGTTCCTCTAAAGGCTTGCAATTAATGAAATCAGCATTCATGTATTTTTTATTTATTTATTTTTGCCATAGCGTGCATGTGCTTGCCAGAGAGACAAAGAAGACAGGGAGAAGGAAAATGAGGAATTATCCCCTCAGGGGGACAGCAACACCACAATCCTTTCTCTTCCATTCTCCTCTCAGGATTATGGGCATGCAGGCACACGTGTCCAGTCTGAGTTTCAAGACACTGGGTCTGGGATTCGAACAGAGGTTGACCATGTGGGAGTCTAGCATCTTAACCACAACACCTCCTGGCCCCAGTGTTCATGTATCTGACAAATATATATTGACTGCCAACATATGCCTGGCACTTTTCTATGGACTTGAGTGTGTACATATTTTGAAGTAGAGCTAACATGTATTTATGAATAAAGTTGTTTTAAAATAGCTTCTAAAACATGTTTTCTAGAATAAAAAGTAAAATTACTTATTTTCTCCCTTGATCGTCTGTCTCATGGACAGTGTTTTCATTTTCTGATTCTGAAGTCGGAGAGCATGACGTGTCACTCTCATGACTGGAAGAAGGTGAGCTCTGTGAGGGCAGAAGTTTTATCTGGTTTGTTTTGTCTGTCTCTCTCCCAGCCAGGAGAGCATCTGACATACAAAATAAGTCCCTACTGTATGCACTAATGTGTGCTTGCCCACACTGAGCAGGACATAGTGTGGGCACACTAGAGTGAGATGAGAAAACAGGGTTCCCTTTGCACAGTGTCATGTAACTTTTAGAAAGCTACAAAGCTCAAATGTCAGCCAGGCTTGCCTGTATGCCCTGACAGCTGCTACTATCCAACCCACCTTCCTTCAACACTTTTTTTTTTATTTAATTTTACTTGTTATAATTATTTTTTAATTTGACCAGAGAGAGAAAGGGAAAGTGAGAAAGCAAGCCGCCAGGTCTGGGACTGGAACTGCAGTTGGTTGGCTATGTGGGAATCAGGCACTCTAACCACCATGCCACCTGCTGGCCCCCCTCCAGCACTCTTTAACAGGACTGAAGGGAAAGATGCTTGCAATGGCATTGTATACTATGTCTCCTATTGTATGGTGAATAAAAACAGAGCCTACCTTCACTGACACTTACCCTGATCTATCTAGAAGAATAAGATTAGTAGGTTTTAACTGCCTAATTTTTTTTTTTTTTTGGAGAGGTTTTTGCTATATGGTGTGTGCGCTCACCAGAAAGAGAGAGAGAGACAGAGAGACAGAAAGCGAGAAATCATCCCCCAGGGGCAATGGCCATGCTGCAATCCCTTCTCTTCCATTCTCCTCTTGGGATCTTGGGCATGCATGCACACGTGCCCAGTGTGAGTTTAAGCCACTGGGTCCGGAACTTGGACCACGGTCAACTACATGGGAGTTCAGCGACACAGCCATTACACTAACTGCTGGTCCCAACTGCCCGATTTTTTCAGACCCAGTAACTGATGGGTTAAGGAAAGTAAATGCAACCACCCTAGGGCTCACAGTGTCATAGCACTCAAACTCAGGTTAGTCAGAGTCCATGTTCTCTCTAATAAACTATGCTGAGAGTTGTATGGTCATATAATTTAAGGACAAAGGCTTTAAGGGCATATCATGAAAGTAACATCATTGTGGTATCTTAAACTTAAGAATCTTTGTTTTCTTATATGGAAAATGAGGGGTGGGTTTGGTAGATTAATGATCTCAAAGATCCTTTCTAGAAAGCTCTAAGAATATATTATCTTAAATACCCTTAAAAAGGCATAAGGTGACACAAAGCAGCCGAGGATCAACATGGGAGGTCCTGGGTTTGACTCCTGAGCCATCCTAAACACTCTGGGAATACCCAAGGCATGCCTGCGATCCAGGCTGGCTGGAAGTTTTGGGGGGAAGGAGGTGTGGGAATATGGTGTGGAAAGAATTTATAAGGTTACCTGTCTTTCTCTTTCTCCTAAAATAAAAAAAACTTTGGGGGGAGGAAAAAGGCCAATTTTAAGTTAAGAATAGAGAAAGCAAATTCACAAATTAAACAGGGCCCACTTTGCCCTTACAGTTATTGACTGAAGAAAGAGCTTCGCCTTTACTGGTTCGTGTCACAATAATGCATCAAAATATATACACATGCTGGTCTTTCCTTACAACTGAGGGGCAAGGACTTGGACTTCAGGGTTAAGTGATATTTATTATCTATCTTCAAGACATAGAATCTTAATCTAAAAAGCATTCTTTACAGGGCCAGCAGGTGGCGTGGTGGTTAAAGATGCTGGATTCCCACATGTGTGACCACAGTTTGAGGCCTGGACCTGGTGGCTTGCTTTCTCACTTTCCCTCTCTCTCTCTCTCGTTTTCTCTCTCACTCCGTCCCTCTCTGGTCAAATTGAAATAAATAAAGTTAAATTTAAAAATTTTTTCAAAATGTCATTCTTTACAATAGAGGTTATACTTAGTAAGTTACTGGTTCTTGCCCATTATACTCCATATCTATATCATCTATATCTATATTTATATGTTTGCCTATCTATCTATCTATCTATCTATCTATCTATCTATCTATCTATCTATCTATCTTAGTTTCTTTAAACATGGCTTCAGAACATGTCTTCTAGAATAGAAAGCAATATTACTTATTTTCACCCTTTGATTATTTGCCTCATGGACAGTTTTCACTTTTTGATTCTGAAGTCTGAGAGCATGATGTGTTACTGTCACGACTGGGAGTAGGTGAGTCCCATGAGAGCAGAGGCTTCGTCTGGCGTATTTCGTCTCTCTCCCCAACCCAGGAGGGTATGTGGCATATAAAACAGGTCCTTACTACATACACTAATATGTCCTTGTCCACATTTAGCAGGACATAGTCCAGGCACGCTATAGTGAGATAAGGCTTTTTAAATGAAGAGTTACAGAGATTTGTGTTTCAAGGTTGTTGTGTTGGAGGAAAAGTCTTTATGTTGATGGGACGAGCTCACCTGTTCTGATTCCACACTCGCTTCTTTCAGTTTATGCTCTGTTGCCTCTTTACATTTCTTCAGGTGTCTAATTGTTTCTTCCAGTTTCTGAAAATATTGTGCAAAGATTTTTATAAACTTCCAATATTTCATTTGGAACCAAAAGCTTCGATATTGTAACAAAAAGGCAACCAAATTACAAAAGTAGGGTAGGATACTTTCTAACTTTGCATGTTACTAAAATAAACATGTTTTTGGTGTAACCTATAATCTACCTATACGTATATGATGACAGATTTTAATTTATGGATTCTGCCGAGGCAAAGCGATGGCAATCTCTTTTTAGGCCTGAAGGGATACTTTGCAGGGCAGACAATTCCTAAGGGAGGACAAGAGCTCAGTGACCTCTGGAAGTCTTTTCTCTATATATGTTATCATTGGTGCGGAGTCGCTGAGAGTCCTTAATAGCAACAGGTGTGCTGCTGCTGTAGGAAAGAATCAGAAAGACTACGGAATTCAGTTCAGAAGGCAGACTTACTGGTATTTTGCATATGTGAGCTCTAGCTGTTTTTTAAAAATTAAAATAATTTTTATTAAACTGAAAATGGAGAGCATATGCCATATTCAAAGCTATAGGCTTTTTACTAGATATTATTATTACAAGGACTTAGCTAAGATGAACAACTTGTAAACGTGTTTTCTTCCACAGAACCTAGAAAATCTAGGTGTAATAATGCTGAGTTCTGGCATGTGTCATTTGCTAACAGTCTTTGACATGAGTGAATATATATATGTATAAATTTTTTTACTGCCAGAGGGCGCATGTACTCACCAGAGAGGGAAAATGCACCCCCACAGTGGGTCCTGGTCATGCTGCAATCCCTCCTCCATTTCTCCCACATACATGCCCCGCATGTCTTTTAAACCACATGGGAATGAGTGAGCTGTGTGGGATCCGGCTCCCTTAACCACTAGCTATAGGGCTGGCCCTGAGCTGAACCTCATAAACCTTTCACCTGGCACCGGCCCTCTAGCTCCTGCCTTATCTTCCGCTCTGTCTCCAGGCGCAGCTCTTGCTGTTTATTCCGGGCCGAGGTATCGTATTGGCTCCTGGCTAACAGCTGCATCTCCTTCTGCAGGTTATTCATTTCAGATACAAATCTCTGGATACTCAATGACTGGTGGGATACAAAGAGAGAGGCATTTGGTGAACCTGTCCAAGTTTGGGATTTTGTGTGAATGGTAAACAGAGTTTGTGGAAATGATCTACCTGTTCGTAGTTTTTTTTCTGATACTGATCCTTGATTATTTCCATTTGTCTCAATTCTGCTTCAATTTGCTGCAAATAAATGTGGAAATAACATAAAAAAGATAATTATGTGGAAACTGGCTTGTTCTTTTTGACTACAGGATGACAGATAGACTCCCATAGGAGACCTGAAGTCAGCCATTCCTTCTGGACTCTCTTTTCCATCGGGCCCATTAACTCTGAAAAGAGCGAAGTCCAGTATAATTAACATGGCCAAAAAGGGGGCCAGAATGTGAAACTGGCAGCTACTGACAAAGCAAGTATTTCCACAGCAGCTTCTCTGCTGAAAAAGAGAAGCCCCTTCCCCCACCCCCAAAGACAATCTGCCCTCTTCCCAGTTGTGGCTGTAATTCCCAGAGAATGTGTGCCAGATTCTGAAACCTCTCTTCCCCAGACACCACTGACTGCCCAGAGCCTCACAGGATACAAAGCAAGTGAAGGGGGACTGCAGGGTTCTCAAACCACCTTCATCCGCTCTACGTTCTGAGCGTTATTCGCCTTAGCCGACAAGTGGTGCTTAATTTGGGCTTTTTGATTCTTTATTTTCTCCTTGTTACTGTTCAGTGTTTTTTCTAGCTCTGTAAGTTTCTGCCGCAGCTCTCGGTTGGTCCGGGACACTTCCACTGATCTGAAGTTGGCTTCATCAAGGGCTTTCTTCAGCTTGGAACACAAAGAAAAAATTGAAACTTTTTTTTTAAATTTGAATTTATTTATTTACATTCATTCACTATACATCATTACAGCAAACAAAATGAGATTTCCCATCCAGAATACACTATATATTGGTTCAATCAAGCACATCAACATACGTGTTATTGTCAACAAATAATTTTCCATTTCTTGTTTCCTGTGTATTTTGTTATTTTTGCCATACTTGATTCCCTATCTCTCACCCTCTGCCATGTCTCACCCTCCTCCCACACTGTCTCTGGTATCCTTGGTTGCTTTCTATGCCTTTTCCCCCATTTCGTTTATTCACTAATGAACTTAATTAATCTAAATACTTCCAATAGCAAGTGCAGCTGATATATACATATCCATGAACATAAGTCTGACTTTAGACATAAACCTCAGTGAGTAGATGAGCATACTATAAAGTGGCACCTAGCTGGGACTGTATAGCTTACTGCAGTCATCAAATATGCATTTTTTTTAATTTCAAGAAAAATAGTTTTCTTTTTTTTTCCTCCTGAAACCTTTTTTTAAAAATTAATTAATTTACATAGCATACAAAATGTGATTTCCCATCCATAATATACTGCATAGTGGCTTAATCATGTATGTTATCAATAATTTTCCATTTCTAGTTATATATCTATATCTATCTATCTATCTATCTATCTATATTAAAAATAGGTATATTTTACCTCCCAGCAAGACTGTTTAGTTTTGTCCCTCTATTTTGCTACCTTTGGCTCTTTCTTATAAAAGGGAGGATGAATGAGGCAATAACGATGTCTGGCCAAGCAGGTTTGTGGGGCATCAGATCAAGTAATTTTCATAATTTATAACACTAAAGAACAAAGTCTTTCTCAGAATAAAAAATTAAAAGTATATTCTTCATTTACATATTAAGAACATGTTTTGAAGTCAGATGGTCCTAAGCTCAAATCTCAGCTTCATCACTAATTGAAAGATTTGGGTAATTAACTTCCTTAACCCTCAGGCCCATCATCTGAGAAGTGTGTGTATGGTCTACTTCATGGGGTATGTGTAACAGTTACACTAAAAAAAAAAAAAAAGAAGTAAGGTAATGTAGAGAAAGTATGTAGAGGCTGGCATGCAGTAGTTGCTCAGTGATTATTACCAGACTATGAGCTTTTCTCTTTGTTTACTTTGTCACTTACAGTCTTGTGTCTGAAGAAGTGACTCTAGCTACTCCAACCAAGTCCTGAAATTATTTTAATTCCTTCCTCTCTTTCAGTCACAATACAACATTTAATGTCTGGTGATTTTTCTATTAAAATGTTTCTCTGGTGGGAACCAGCAGTTAGCGTAATGGCTATGTCGCTGGACTCCCACGTAGTCAACCGCGGTTCACGTCCCGGACCCGGTGGCTTAAAACTCATGCCGGGTGCGTGTGCGTGCATGCCCAAGATCCCGAGAGGAGAATGGAGAAGGGACTGCGGCATGACCATCCCCCCTGGGTGATTTCTCGCTTTCTCTATGTCTCTCTCTGTCTGTCTGGCAAGCGCATGCGCCCTATAGTGAAAAAAATCTCTCCAAAAAAAAAAAGTTTCTCTGGTTTAACTGTTTTCTATTTTCATTAAAATTTATTTAAATTCATTTAAAAAAATTGTCAGAGGGCATGTGCACAAGCCAGGTAGAGAGAGAAAGAGAGAGAAAGTGAGAAAGCACCCCCTGTGGGGGACAGTCATACCATAATCTCTTCTCTTCCGTTTCTCTCTCCATTCGGGATTTTGGGCATGTATATACATGCACCTGACATGTTTTTTGAGCTGCTGCTCTAAGACTTGAATCACACAGTCGGCCATGCAGAATTGGATCCAGCCACCTTACCCACCACTCCAATGGCTGGTCCAGTTCTCTATTTTCCATAGAACTAGTTTGCTTGGCTCTAATTATCTAATACCCAAATTAATTGTAATAGTTTCCCAGAGTCACCATGCCTCCAGTTTCTCTTCATTCTTCTATACACTTTCCAGTGCTGTCACCTAGTCTACCTAAAATTGTGCTTATAACATACCAGGCCCTGCTCAGAAACCTATAGTGCTTCATTTTCCTTTTTTTAGGTTTTTGTCACAGGACACATACGCTTGACAGAGAGAGGGAAAGTGAGAAATCACACCCACCCCGCCCCCCGGGGAGGATGGCCATGTCACAATCCCTTCTCCTTCATTCATCTCTTGGGATTTTGGGCACGCAAGCACATGCCCAGTGTGTTTTTCAAGCCACCAGATCTAAGACTTGAACTGCAGAGTTGGCCATGTGGGAGTGCTATGTCTTAATCACCACACCACTTGCTGGCCCCATAGTGCTTCGTTTTTACCCAACAATTCACATCCAATAGTCTGGAAGTGAAGGCCATCTCTCAGCTAGTCCCACCCACGTTCCCACTCCTTGCCTGACCTTTTCTGAAGTCTCTGATCTGATCAAGAGAAGCTCCTTTTCACTTGTTCTTATGTCCTGCTCATTTTTATAGCTAAGCCCTGCTTACGCTCTCATCTCTGTCAGGCTCAACCTTGTGCTTTCATTACACTTCCCTCCCTTGATTACCCAGCCAACCTAAAATAAATTTCTCCTTACTTTGGATTCCTTCAAAACTGTACACAAGCCTCAAGCTCTCCTAAACAGGTGCTCTGATATTTTCCCTTTTTGTCTCAGGTCCAGAGAGGTCACAATTAAACAGGGGTTATTTAGCACGGATCAGAGCATAAACCACATCATCTACTGCTTTCCTGTGTGCATCTCAGGAGCTGGTAGATACAGAATGGATGCTAGTTAGGTGAACTCAGGGGGCAGTAATTAAGTTTCTATCAGATAAAAATCTCTCTATTTCTTTTCTTTTCTTTTCATTTTTTTTTCCAGAGTTTTTGCTATAGGGTGCGTGTGCTTGCCAGACAGGGAGAGACAGAGAGACAGAAAGCGAGAAATCACCCCGCAGGGGGGATGGCCATGCTGCAATCCCTTCTCCTCCGTTCTCCTATTGGGATCTTGGGTGCACGCACACACACACCTGGTGTGAGTTTAAGCCACCGGGTCCGGGATGCGAACCACGGTCAACTACATGGGAGTCCAGCGACATAGCTATTATGCTAACTGCTGGTCCCGAAATCTATTTCTTTATCCCTCTCAGTCATCACTCTCTGATGGAAAAACTCTCATTAAGACATTTCTTCCCTGGGCAGGGAACTGAATCTCTGAAACTGCTTTCTGTGTGGTGCCTTAAAAACGACACAGTGCTGGTCCAATTTCATCTGGCTTGCTGAACAAAGAGCGATTAGGAGAGCCAAAGAACTGAAATCCTTTAGTTGGTTATTCTCCTAAGAGGCACTCATCTAGACAGAACCTTATTATTTTAAGTATATCATTTATTCCACGAGTGAGACAGGGAGACACACAAGATAGACACAATACCCTTGAAAGGATCTCAATACCACGATCCACCCACAGTCTCAACCAGCCTGACCATGGGTGCACACAGCTGGCCTACTCAGGGCGATCTCGGAATGCAAACTGGTAACTTTCCCACGTGGGTCCGTGTATCAGAGCACCGCATTTTACGGCTGTGCCACAGATCAGCTTGAGAAAAGCTTTGTTGTCCTAGTGTCATACCTCAGCCATCTCCCGTTGTGCTGCTTTCTTTGCAGCTTCTCTCTCAGTTTGAAACTGCTTCCTTAGAGCTTCGATGCGCTCAGCATGCAATTCTGCTTCCACTTTGGATTCCTCAGTCATCCGTTCTCTGTTTTGAAGAAGACAGATGATGAGTCATTTTTAAAAAAAATTATTTGTCTATTTATTTCTCGTGATTTTTTAAGCTGCCAGGTCCAGGACTTGAATCATGGTCACCCATGTGGGAATCCAGTGCCTTAATCATCAGGTCACCTGCTGGTCCAACAAATCATTTTAAAAGAACCATCTTAGAAGGCAGAAAGATTTGGAGAGGAATGTGCAATTCTCTAAAAGGTGTGTGATTTGCAAATGAGCAGGAAATCAGTCACCAGATAAGTCTCACGGATCTGGAGCTCATTCACAGAACAACAACAACAAAAAGGTATTTACCTGTAGCATTAAGTTAAAAAGTCAAAAAAAATATTCTATGAAAAGATACCCAACAGTAAGAGTGAAAAACTCCTATCAGAAAAAATATTAGAGGACGCAGTAATACTGTAAAAGAAAAACTTGCTTTTGTTTTGCCATTTCTTTTTGTCATCAGCTATTTTATCTTGTTTTAACTTGTAATTATTAGGTTGTTAGAAGTCATGTGAATTTTTGCATAGAAAAATACATCATGACATTTCTGACAACCCAATATATTATTTCCTTCTCTCTTAAGTGTGAGCCTTCTATTAGGTTCAGTGCTCTTTTGTTTTGTTTTGTTTTGAGAGATTTTTGCTATGGGGTGTCTGTGCTAGCCAGAGAGACAGAGAGACAGAGAGACAGAAAGCAAGAAATCACCCCCCAGGGGGGATGGCCATGCCACAATCCCTTCTCCTCCATTCTCCTGTCTGGATTTTGGGCACACATGCATATATGCCCGGCATGAATTTTAAACTGCTGGGTCCAGGACTTGAACCATGATCAACTACATGGGAGTCCAGCAACTAACCATTACACCATCCGCTTGCTGGTCCTGGTTTGGTGTTCTTCACTTGGGTTCCTTTGGTCCAGATTCATAGTTAGGCCTTTGAGAATGCTAAAATTCCCTGAAGTGATATTCAAAATGTAGTGTGCATGGTGTGTGTTAAGAGGGAGAGGCGGTTGGGCAAGCTGTCCATTGCTTTTGACTCTTTTTTTTAAATAATCATTTTATTGACCATTAATTAATTAATTAATTTTCATTTGGCTAGAGAGGGACAGAGAGAGAAAGAGAGAAAGTGAGAAAGTAAGTCACTGGATCCGGGACTTGAACTGCAGTCAGCCATGTGGGAATACAGTGCCTTTAACCACCATACTACCAGCCAGCCCCAACTTTTTTTTTTTTTTTTTTTTTTTGGGGGGGTTTTCAACTATGGGGGTGTGGCGTTGGTTTTCACTATAGGGCGTGTGCGCTTGCCAGACAGAGAGAGAGAGACATAGAGAAAGAAAGAGAGAAATCACCCCCCAGGGTGGATGGTCACGCCGCAATCCCTTCTTCATTCTCCTCTGGGATCTTGGGCATTATTTTATTTAACTTTATTTTATTTGTTTATTTTAATTTGACCAGAGAGGGATAGAAAGAGAGAAAGTGAGAAAGCAAATCACCAGGTTTGGGACTTAAACCACAGTTGGCCATGTGGGAGTCCAGTGTGTATAACTACCATGCCACCTGCTGGCCCCAATATATTAATTTTCTTAGTTGCCTTTAAGTTTATCATGTTTATTATAGGGAAGTAGTTAGTAATATGAATTTTGGAGTCAGGCTGCTGTCACTTAGATTCGAACCCCCACTCTGGCAAGATGAGATGTGATCTTGGTAGGTTACAGCATCTTTCCATGCTTGTTTCTTTACCTGTCAAATGGGAATAATAACAGTATGTGGCATCACAGAATAATAGAACCACAGAAAATAACGCATGTGAAGTCCTTAGCTCAGTACCCAACACATAAGGAGCACATAACAAATACTAGCTGCTATCATTCACTGTCATCAGTGCCATCATCACGTAGTTCTAATAGTTAAAATTTTAATTATGAATTAGATTTAAAAGTTTAAATTCTAATTAACTTTAATTTTTAATTTAATTTAAAATTTGATTTCCCTCTTGTCCTCAATTCTCCATTTCTTCCCCTACCCAATACATAGCATTTCAACTTCAACTCTTGTTTTCTTCTTTTTATTGTGGTAGGAATGCTTAACATGAGATCTATCTTCTTTTTTTTTTCTTTTGGAGAGATTTTTCGCTATAGGGCGCATGTGCTCGCCAGACAGACAGAGAAACATAGAGACAGAAAGCGAGAAATCACCCCCCAGGAGGGATAGTCATGCCGCAATCCTTTCTCCATTCTCCTCTCGGGATCTTGGGCACATACGCACACGCGCCCGGCATGAGTTTTAAGCCACCGGGTCCGGGATGCGAACTGCAGTCGACTACGTGGGAGTCCAGCGACATAGCCATTAAGTTAGCTGCTGGTTCCGAGATCTATCTTAACAAACTTTTAAGTATATGATATAGTGTTTTTAAAAATTATTTATTTAATTTTATTTATCCATTCATTTTATTTTTAATTTGACCAGAGAGAGACACAGAGAGAGAGAGAGAAAGAGGGAAAGTGAGAAAGCAAACCACCAGATCTGAGACTCAAACCATGATCGGCCATGTGGGAGTGTCTAGCGCCTTACCCACCACACCACCTGCTGGTCCCTGATATAGTATTGTTAACGACAGGTCTATGTTCTACAATCTCTAAAACTTATTCATCTTGCTTTTATTTTCTTCTAAGGAAAATATTTGACTATCTACTGTCAGATTCCTCTGAATAGTCACCCATCTTCTCCTTTCCTATAGTCACAGAGGAAAACATGCCTGGCCTCAGGTTTTATGTTTTTCTGTTTTGTTTTGTTTTGTTTTTCCATCAGGTGTGTGTACTAGATGGAGAAAGACAGAGAGGGATACAGAGAGGGAAAGTGAGAAATCATTCCCTAGGAGAATGGCCACACCACAATCCCTCCTCTTCCATTCTCCTCTTGGGATTTTGGGCACACATGCACATGTGCCCGGCGTGATTTTCAAAATGCTGGATCAAGGGTTGAATCATGTGGGCCATGTGGAAGACCGTCTTAACCACCATGCCACTTGCTGGACCCAGTCCCATCTTGGCATCATTTTTATTTATTTATTTTTAGAGAGATTTTTGGTATAGGGCACGTGCACTTGCTGGAGAGACAGATAGAGACTGAGAGACAAAAAGTGAGAAATCACCCCCCAGAGGGTATAGCCATGCCGTAATTTCTTCTCCTTCATTCCCTCTCAGGATCTTATGCATACACACTTGCTTGGTGTGAATTTTAAGCTGCCAGGTCTAGGACTTAAACAGTGGTCGACTACGTGGGAGCCCTGTGACGTAACCATTACGCTATCTGCTGGTCCTAACAGCCTCATTTTTTAAATAACCCTTTTACTTATGCTCTCTCTCACATTCTCCCATTTTTCTCCAGTTCAATAGGGCTCCTTCCCATACTCTTTAATCATGGTCTAGTTCTTCCCGTCCTACAAACAAAACAGAAGCGAAATAACGTTTCTTCACGTTTTGCTCTTAGCCGCTGTCCTATCTTCTTTCCCCTCACCACTGTCCTCCTTACCTGCCTTTCCTCATGAATCACTAACTCTGGAATTTTCTGTATCTAACAGAAATTGGTCATCTGGGGGATTATCAGTAGATGCCAGTTGTAAAACCCAATGGCCTTCTTTTCGGTCTCTGTTTTTGACTCTGCAGCATCTGACTCACTTGTTTTTCCCTTTGTGATGCTACATCTTCTGATTCTTTCCTTACTTCCCTAAATGTTCCTCTTCTGGCTACTTCTCTGGCCTCTATTCCTTCCCTCTGAAAGGTGGTAGATCTCCAAATTCTGCTACATTTTTATAAAGAAATTCTTTTTTTTTGGAGAGGTCTTCACTATAGGGCGCGTGTGCTCGCTAGACAGACAGAGAGAGACAGAGAGACAGAAAGCGAGAAATCACCCCCCAGGGGGGATGGTCACGCCGCAATCCCTTCTCCTCCATTCTCCTCTCGGTATCTTGGGCACGCACGCACACGCGCCCGGCGTGAGTTTTAAGTCACCGGGTCCCTGACTCGAACCACGGTCGACTACGTGGGAGTCCAGCGACATAGCCATTACACTAACTGCTAGTTCCCAAGAAATTCTTTATGTTTTTCCTATGGCAGTCTAATTCACTCAAGTCTTAGCTCTCATCTTTGCAGAGATGAATTCCAACTTGTCACTTCTTTCCAGAATAGGCCTCTGCTTCTATTATTAAATGACGCCACCTCAGACTCAGCATAACTAAAACATAACCTCCCAACTTGCTTTTTCTAGTTAAGTATAACTGCACAGAATTTCAGGAGGTCCTTAGATCTCAAGTAAAGTAGCATGATTTACCTTTCATGAAAATAAAACTATTACACACAATGGCCCAAAGGTAAATTCTAAAGTATATGCTGTAAGGAAATCTGTGACTCTCACCTTGTCCTACTTCTAGAAGTTACAAAGCCATGAGTTTGTTTATTTATGCAGAGGTGGAGGGACTTCATTATACTGTCAGTAAAAACTGATGCTGATGGGTTTTCTGTTTGTTTGTTTTGATTTATTTCTTCTATGAGTAAGTGAGACACACACACACACACACACACACACACACACACAGAGACAAACAGACAGACTGACTGACGTAATGCCCAAAAGGGTCTTGGCATCATAATCCTTCCCCAGCCTTTACCCAGTCCCGGATCACAGGCAAGCCTATGCCTGGCATACTCAGGGAAGTCTCTGGACTTGAATCATGAATCTTCCCATGTGAGATTGTCTCACAGAACATTAGATATTACCACTGCACCACCGTCTTGCCCCCGATGGTGCTGCCAGTCAGATATAAAAACAATATTGTTTAGCCAACAATGAACGGTCTCGGGGCAGCAACACTTCACCAGAATATACAGTGTGCACAGATTGCAGATATGAGAAATACTTTCTGTGCTTTAGTTTGTCTTTCTCCCATATCAACATGTGCACTAACTGAGAAGACTAAAGATGTTTGTGCACACTGCATTTCCCTTAGCTATAAATTTTCATGGAATGTTACTAATATATAAATCATATTTACATATATGCAGTTTAAGACAAAACTTTGGTTGGGGCCAGCAGGTGTTGTGGTGGTTAAGGTGCTGGACTCCCACGTGGCCAACTGTGATTCGAGTCCCAGACCTGGTGGCTTGCTTTCTCACTTTCCCTTTCTCTCTCTCTGTCTCTTGCTAGTCAAATTAATAATAGTAATAATAAATTAAAAGCATTAAATAATTCTTTTTAGAAATTAAAAAAAAGAAAACTTTTGTGCTTTGACCAACCTTGATGGGCTGACCTAACTAATCTCAGGTCAAAACTGAAAACAATTGGGAAATAGAGATGGCTTATTACCTGTTGATGATGACATGTATAGTATTCTCAACTGGATTGGTCTGGGAAGTATTTCATGATGGGTTAAGTCTTTTTACAAGCAAAATGAGAAATAGTGATTGACTGATTAAAAAAATAATTGGAATAATAATAAATGATGGGAAAAACATTGAAAAGATACTGAATGATGAAGTGGGGAGATTAATGTCTCTGTATTGACTGACACGCATGGCATTCCCTTTTGAAAAAGCAATGTAATACACTGTACAGTTATATGCAATCCAATGTAATATAAACAAGATTATGATGATAATAAAAAAAAAACCCTGAAAACAATTAACGTCATAACATCTGTTTGGATGAAGTTATTCTATTCCTGTATGGGCTATTCCCACCCAGCCTGCTGGTATTCCTCATCCACATCAGACTTTAAAAGGACATATAAGCTGACCATAAAAGGTGTGGCAGAAGCATCTGAATGTCCCTTTCCACCAGCATTCTTTAAGTTCTGGTTGAACCTTCACATAAAGCAGCGGCTTGATACTGGATGAGGGAACTGCTGAGGTAGAAAGGCAAACGGGCAGCCCCAGCCAGTGAGTATTTGTGGGTGCCCAGCTGTGCCTGGCTCCTTAGTGTGGCTCTGCCAGGAGTCTTCATTCCAAGTGGGAGGAGAAGGTTTAACTGGTTATATGAACAAGATAGACTTACTCCTCCCTAATTTTACTGTGACTATACTGTCCTTACTTGAAGGTTTCCAAAGTCTGTCGCTCAAGTTCTTTGTTTTCTAATTTCTCTTGGATGTGGTCCAGCTTTGCTTGCAGATTATTATTTGTCTGGAGAGCTTGTTCCAGACTCATAGCCAGTTTCCTGTTGTCTTCTCTAGCTATATCAATAGCTTTTTGTAGAGGCTCCATCTGAAAGAGAAAAAAGTGTTTTTAATTTCATTACAACAGAATTATGTATGTCCACTCCTTTCACTTTATCATGTGCAATTGAAACATTCCAGGTGCCTGGAATGTATGTGTATGTGAGAGCTTATTACAGACATTGCTTAGGAGATTTTTAGAAAGCAGTAGGAAGGGTATGTTCCCTTGGTCACTATAGAGTTCTGGAAAACAGAGCCAGCTTAATTTACTCTAATTTTTACAATTTTATACTAGTTAGGGCCAGCCCCATGGTTTAGTAGTTAAGGAAAATGGATCTGACATGGATGCCTTGATGGTTTAAAAACCAACTGGGTGCATGTGTGTGTGCACCACAGATCCCAATGTGATAGAGAAATAAAGAAAAGGGATTGTGGAATGACCATACCCCATTGAGAGGAACGATCTCCCTCTCCCAGTCTGTTTCTGTCTGTCTCTGGTGAATACACATGTACTGTGGCAAAAAACAAACAAAAAATAAAAACAATAACAATAAAAACATACTTATATTTTCCTTCCTGATCTTATGACCTTCTGGTCTCACTCCCTACAGAGATAAAAGCTGGCCAACTGCTTCTTGTATCTTCTTCCAGAAAAGGCTCATTTATATGTAACATCTACATGTCATTTATATACAGCCTACGCCCATGTGTAGATATATGCGCATTTATGTGCATATACATGAAATCACAGGCATGTGTCCACTTATTTATTTTTTAAATAAAGTTTATTCATTTATACCTTCCATGAGCCAGAGAGAGGGAGACAGGTATCTCCCAAAAGGTCTTCATACCATGGCATACTCACAATTCCAGATCATAGACATGTGTGTGTCCTGAGTGTTCAGGGAGGTCTCTGGACACAAATCCTGAACCTTCCCATGTGGTCAGCTTCACAGAGGTTTCATTACTGCTCTACCATCAGCTGGTCCCTGTTAATAGTGGGATCACTCTAGCTGTTTCTTTCTTTCTTTTTTTTTTAATATAGAAGTTTACTACTTTTAAAAATTATTATTTATTTAATTTTATTTATTCATTCAGTTATTTTAATTTGACCAGAGAGAGAGAGAGGGACAAAGGAAGCCGCCAGGTCCAGGAGTCAAACCATGGTCGGCCATGTGGGAGTGTCCAGCACCTTAACCACCACGCCACCTGCTTGTCCCAGAAGTTCACTACTTTTAAAAATAATTATTTATTTAATTTTATTTATTATCATTCTTTTTAAATTTGACCAGAGAGAGACAGAGAGAGACAGAGAGAAAGTGAGAAAGCAAACTGCCAGGTGTGGGACTTGAACCATGGTCATCTGGCCACTGGGGATTCCAGCGCCTTAACCACTATACCACCTGTCAGCCCCCACCTCTAGTTGTTTCTAACTAGTAATTTTTGAAGTCCTTTAACTTCTGAAATCATTTGTGCATTAATAAATATTAAACACGGACAACATAAGACAAAGACAATTAGGCATACATGTGGTATTGGTTTGCCAGTAAGAGACTTAATGTAAGACTGCAGGTCTACTTCCCATTTATAAATATGCCACTTCCCAAAACTCTGACTTGAATGAAAAGGAAATTCACTGGCTTATTTTAATTCATTTTTCTAAAACAGTAATATACTAATAAAACTAAAAATATAAACAATATAATCCACAAAAATAGCCTCTGGGCCAGTCAGTGTCATGGTGGTTAAGGTGACTACATCCCACATGGCTAACTGTGTGGTGCAAGTCCCAGATCCAGAGACTTTAAAAACATACCAGATGAGCAAAAGACTCAAACGGAACTGCTAGAGATGAAGTCTATAATACAAGAAGTCAAAATTTCCCTTTAATGTATTAAAAGCAGACTAGATCATACAGAAAATAGAATCTCAGATGTAGAAGAGAAAATGGCTGGCCTAGAAAAATCCACCACAAAGACTGAGAAAA